AAATTCCATTAAGATCATGAACCTTAAGGTTACTTGACCTTTGTGAACCAATCGCATGACCCACTAAGGGTCTGCTGACCTTTCCTGACCTTTTGTTTTGAATCACTAAATTTGTGTATGTACCTACTGTATAAACTGTCTAGTTTCAAACCTAAATACTTAGAGGTTTGGAAACCCCGTGGCAGTTCGGTACTAGGCTTGGGCACCTTTTATTCAAAATTACATAGTATTTTATAGGTGTTTTTGTAAATAAACTATCGACCTATTTGCAAGCGAGTTTCAAACACCGTTCTATGCAAACATTGTGGCTGTGAGCTTCTCACCTCGAATCAATGCCTCCTCGGCTGCTTGTACGGAGGGCTACGCGCAAAGTAGTACACACACGTATTACAGCTTAGAGGCACTCAGTATATAAATAAGCCATAGAATTCGGAATACATCCATTTGCGTGTTTCATAACCAGACTCATAAATGCAACTATGGCAGGGGACTATATAGTAATTTCTGATGTCGATGATGATGACTTTGAAGACGATTTTGAAGCCGATGATAGTGAGTTAGAAGATGGAATATTCCAGGAGGAGGATGTGGATGGCCAACGTGTTGCCAAGAATACTGTTGGGTCACCTCCTGACGATTCAATGCTGCCCGCTAACCTGTGGTATGTATCCTATGTTTAGGGATTTTTTTTATGGAGATAGTGTTCTAATTTCGTGTTTTATTGTAAACTGCGGTAATAAAGATGGTAGGCTGAATACTTCGGGCATTGCGATACATTGTGCGGCGTTTTGATATTCACGGTCAAATTATAGTGTAGCGTTTACCCAAGTTATGACATTGAAATATCAGAATAATCACTACTATACTATATACGAAACAAGATCTATTGCCACACTTGACCGTGCCTTTAATTAAATGGATGCATTACTGGGGTAATTGAGCGACGGATAATACTCTGTTAAATTTATCAACACAAAATAAGTGCCAATGAATAGACATGTTTATGATACTAATTTAGACTC